CCCCCTCCACCCCCCTCCCTCCTGCTTGATTCCCAGCGAGTTTTACTCCCCTCTGTGGGCTTGTGTGCCCCTCGGTTAGTTCCAGTTTATGAGAGTACGAGTGGTGTGTGTTTTTCCATTCTTGAGATACTCACATAGGATAATAGTCTCCAGTTCCTTCTAAATTGCTATAAAAGGCGTCAGTTCATCCTTTTCATGTCTGAGTAAAGTTAAACACGACCTTCCGTGGTTCTCGTGTATAGGCCGAGGAGAGAATCGCTGGTCTGGTGGTGACAAGACCACGGCACGCCCAGACTAGGGAAGGTGGAGTCGGAGTGATGGATAGTGGCGCGAGGGGAGAACACGGAGACAGAGTGGCAGGAGGGGTGGGGCCACGGTGACGGAGACAGGCGGGGCGTGCAGGAGCCCGGGCTTCTGGGCACGGACTGAGGTGTCTTTCCAAGCTGTGCAAGTTCTGGGAAGACTCTCACATCTCATTCTCATCCCACACCCCAGTGAGGTGCCTGACCTGGACCAAATTGTCCCCGTGCTGCTGGAGCATGGCCTGGAACGTCTCCCGGAGCACTGCAGGCTGAGCCCAGGTACAGGCCCCCCAGATCCGACGGCAGCCCCACCCCATGCTGAGCCGCTGTGCGCAAGGGCCCCCCCTCTAGGAACCTGCAGAGTCCTCTTCTCTCCCCACCAAAATTGCATGCTTTCCCTGGTGCTGAAACCCATTCCATTCCGCTGGGCGTTTCCCTCCCGCGTTGGTGTGGAGGCGAAGCTGCGGAGCCGGGCTGTGCCAGAGGCAGCGGGTTGGGCCGGAGGGAATCGCTTTCTCTCGCACTTCAGGCGCCAGAGCGAGGCGGGGGGGGGTCGGAAAGGGCACGCAGCTGGGCTCCAGGGATCACTCAGGGATCCAGGCTCCTCCTCTCCTGTCCCTCTGCCCTCCTGAGGTTGTCACCCCAGTGTGCATGATCAGAGATGGCTCACTTCCTGTTCTCGATTGCGAGAGAAGGGGAGACAACCAGATTGCTCATGAGGATGTGACCCAGATGTAGCACCTCCTGCGTGCGTTCCAGTCACATGGCCTTTCCTAACTGCAAGGGGCAGGGGCGTCGAACCAAGAGCCCTTCCAGACCACAGCAGGGTTCATTCTCTTGCTCAGTGGCGAGAAGGAAGAGTGGGTCCTGGGGCGCATCAGCAGTCTCGTCACCCTCCCCACTCCAGGCATTGCCTTCCCTCTGCCCCGTTTACCCTAATCCACTCTCTCCTCCCCGCCAGGCATCCCGCTGAAACCAATGTTGGCCCATCCCACTCGCGGTGTCAGCGAGGTCCTGAAACGCTTCGAGGAGGCAGCTTTCACCTGCGAGTACAAATACGATGGGCAGAGGGCACAGGTACGGGGAGTGGGACACGTCTCTTCTGCAGGAGGCAGAAGGTGCCGCAGAGCACGGCTGGGGGCAGTCAGACGGGAGCTCAGAGCCAGCCTCTGGCACGTGCTGCCCGGCTGACCTTGCTGGTCTCCCTGGGCCTCAGTTTCCACCACCCTGCAATGAGTGCGATGATAACTGCCTCACAGGCTTATCCGAGGACAAAATCGTCAAAAGTCCTGACCTGCGGTAGTGGGAGCCCAAGATACATTGGCTCCACTTGTGCCCTGCTGGTGGGCGGGTGTGTTCTAACAGCCATTCTGGGAGGCGCCTACATGGCCCCTTAGCACAGTGACGTCGCGCATGTGTCCCATGACCCGGGACCAGAGAGCACGTGATGCGGTGGGCGTCTGCAGGGCTTTGAGGCAGCTGCAAATAGTGGATTCGATAGACACTTAGTGTCATAAATGAATCTTCAAAATACAGTGTTGAGAAAAAAGTAAGAAACAAAATGATTCATGATAGCAACAATGATTTTATGTATATAAACTTGCTTGAAATAGCAATATACATGTAAGATAGCATGTATGTAGCCCTGCTCAAGAACTGTGACCAGACCATATTAAAATAAGCTAACGTAAACTAACAGTGGAAGCCAGCATGATATTCACAGCGTAACAACATTTATGCAAACATCAGTATGTGCACCTAGCAAGACACGTGTTTACATTCAAGGAGGAGTGGGGATTGGAAATAAAAAGATGACGGGGGCTTTCAGAGACAGGGGTGGGAGGTGCTGTGGGAACCGAGATGATTCCTTCAGGTCTGTGCACCAGTTCCTCCTCCAGAGCATCCAGAACCTTCTACTGGTGAAGGTGGAGCCAGAGGGGAAAAGAGGGACCGAGAGGAGTGGGCTCGGCTCTGATTTCCTCTCCCTTCCCCGACCTGCTGTGGCAGATCCATGTTCTAGAAGGCGGGGAGGTGAAGATTTTCAGCAGGAATCAGGAAGATAACACCGGGAAGTACCCGGACATCATCAGCCGCATCCCCAAGGTGGGTGTCTGCCGCGCACTGTCACACTGGCAGGGGCCAGCTCAAAATTGGATATCATTCGGCTGCAGATGACAGAGCACCCACTATGCGTGGCTTAAGCAGATATTTTTTTCTCAAAGAAATCTGGAGATGGGCAGCCCAGCGGTGACGTGGCCCAGTGCTGGTGTCCTTCCGCACCCAGCTCATTTCTGCCTCTGCCCTCTGCTGTCCTTGGCTGGTTGGTTTTCATCCCAGTGCCTGTCCCCTGATAGTTTCCCAAATAGACCTTACACTTCCAGACAGAAAGACAGAGGGAAAAGGGATTCTAGCTTCCGTCCCCTCCCATGAAGATACCTCTCAAGCACCCCAGCTGACTCCAGCTTGGAGTCACTGTCCAGCCACTGAGTCCCATGGCCACCCTAGTGCGACAGTGGCTGGGAAAGCCAGAATCTAACTCTGGAGCCTCTCTGGCAGGAGGACAGGGAGAGGGAGTGGGGACGAGGGTGCAGGGAGCCAGCCTGCTGATGGGCCCAGCCTCAGAGTGAAGCCAGGGGTTGCGTAGGGCTGGGCCTCACGGGCCTAGCTGGGGTTTCTCTGCACTCAGCGTGAGTCTCTGGCCTGTTTTAGGACTCCTCTATCAAAGAGCCTTTCTCCTTGCCTGCCCCTATTAACCAGGAAATTGTTTCAGAGAGCAGGGAGCGCAGTGTTCGGAATCCTGCGTGTTAGAGGTGGTGAAGACGGGAGCCACAGCACAGCATGTGCCTTGCTGGCTCTCCTGCTGAGTGCCAAGCACTATTTTTTAAAATTGTACTAAGATATAATTTCCATAAAGTTTCTGATTTTACATATACGGTATACTTTGGTGAGTTTTGACAAGTTTATACACCCATATGACCAAGACCCAGTCCATGTATAGAACATGTCCGTATGCTCATCACTCTAGACTATCTCCCATGCCCCTGGCCACGCAAGCCCCCTCCGCCGCCCCCCACCATCCATCTGCCAGAGGCAACCCCGGATCACCTTTTTTGTCACCATAGGTTAGTTTTGCCTATGCTAGAGCTTCCTACTAGTGGTATCATACAAAATCTTGTATTCTTTCGCTTATTCATTCAACAAGTACTTACTGGGCGTCTGCTCTGAGCTGGGCCCTGTACTGCAGGCTGGGGAAACGACACAGACAGGCCTGCCACGGTCTCTGCCCTCACGGAGCTCACAGACAGGCTTTCATCAGAGAAGCCTGCTGTTGACTCCGTGATTACATGGACAGTCAGGGCTCTGAAGAAAAGGACCGACCATCTGTAAGCCTTTATGAGAAACAGACTTGACTTAGGCTTAGTGTCCGGAAAGCTGCACGGCTCCAGGATACGGTAGGGCTGGTGCCCCTGGACTTGTGCCTTACAGGGGAAAAGAAGGCTTCCCAACGGAGGCAAAGGACAGGGCCGGCATGCTAGAGGGAACAGCACGTGCAAGGGCCCGGTGGTGGGAGGCCGTAGCCCATTGAAAACAGAGGCTTGTGTGCCGGGGTGACAAGAGCAAGGCTGCAGGGCCAGGTGAGGCGAGGGAGGACCAGGGCTGACAGGAGACCCCCAGAGCACTGGGGAATCACGGGATGGTTTTAGCAGGGACGTACTGTGACCACGTTGGCTTTGCCGGGATCGCCCTGGCTGCCGTGAGGAGAGTGGACCTGGGGGGCAGTGCAGGATGGGGAGACCAGGACCATGAAGTGGCTGAGTGCAGTGGGGCGGTGGGAAGTGGGCAGCTTAGAGATTTTTGAAGGGGAAATTGACACATTCACTAGGGAATTGAATGTGGGTGAGAGGAAGAGGGAGATGTCAAAGGCTCCTGGGTCTCCAGCTTGTGGGACTGAATAGCACGTTCTCAGAAAAGTTTTTTTTCCCTCCCCTTATTGGGGATCTGCGTTCATGTGTCTCTTTGTCAGTGGATCTGGAGAGCTATGGGAGGAGAAGGGAATTTGTTTCCCCAGTCTTTCTTTTGACCTCATCCTCTGCCTCATACAGGCCTGAGTCTCCCCCTTCACTTTTCAGATTAAACTCCCGTCTGTCACATCCTTCATCCTGGACACTGAAGCCGTGGCTTGGGACCGGGAAAAGAAGCAGATTCAGCCATTCCAAGTTCTCACCACTCGCAAACGCAAGGTAGCGTTGGTCCCCTCCACTGCCAGCCACGGGCCCCGTACTCCCTCATCTTCCCAGGCCTGGCTACAGATCCTGCCCAATCCCAGAAGGGCAGAGTGTCAGTCTGAGTGCAGTTCTCTCAGCCTTTCTGCAAAGCGGCTGCCACAGCTCCAGCCATCACATTCTCATCCCAGCATCCCAAGTGGGAAGGGGGGAAAGGCCCTTTTCCCACATCTCTATCATTTTGTTATGAAAGAAGATCTGTTCTAGGAACCTCCACAACCTGTATCCCAGCAGACCTCCCCTTTATATTTCATTGGCCAAAACTATGTCATGTCACCCTCATTAGCTGCAAAGGAGGCTGGGAGAGCAAATATCTGTGAAGGGGAGTGAAGTTGTCAGAATTAGCCGAGAGCCATGATGATTCACTACCTGGGGCCAGCAGCATGGCCACCCTCACGGGTGTGCGGCCTGCCAGCTGGAGAGAGCGAGAGAATAGCAGGTGACCGGTATCTGCCTCAGGCACTATGCGAGGGGAACCCAGCCAGCCCCGTCACACCTTCCCCCACTCCTGGTCTCCATTTTGCCCCAACCCAGGAGGTGGACGCGTCTGAGATCCAGGTGCAAGTGTGTTTGTACGCCTTTGACCTCATCTACCTCAACGGAGAGGTAAGTTCCGGCTCCATGTCTGGGGGCGGTGTGTGGGCCTGGGAGCCGGCAGTCTGACTGTCATTTCTGACTGCGCTTCGCTGAGCAGTGAGGCCACTCGGGCGGTGGATCTCCAAGCGCCTTTATTCAGCTGGTGTTAATTACAAGAGACCGTACTGTTCATTCAAGCTCCAGCAAGGCCGCGGCTCCCTGTCTAGTGCTCCGGAGGTCGCCGGCTCTAAGCGGCGTCCAGCCCCTCTGGCCCGTGACTAGCCCCGTGCTTTAAGCTCTCAGAATCCACCCGCCAGCGCGGCTCTCCCCTCTCGAGGCTTTCTGTAAACCACCTTGCTACTTGTGACCTGTATGTTTCCTCTGTGCCTCGCGATCAGGACTCGCTGTCTCTGTCTCCACAATAAACGCCCCATCTTCTCTCCTCCCTCCCCGGCCCCTCAGTCCCTGGTACGTGAGCCCCTTTCCCGACGCCGGCAGCTGCTCCGGGAGAACTTCGTGGAGACTGAGGGTGAGTTTGTCTTCGCTACCTCCCTGGACACCAAGGACATTGACCAGATCGCCGAGTTTCTGGAGCAGTCCGTGAAAGGTGAGGGTGCCCACTCTTCTCTCCGCCAAGGTCTGCGGCCTCCCTGCAACCCACGCTGACCCCGGCTTCCCAGCCTGTCCCCCACCCCAGATGATTTGACCAGAACCCCACCTGCTCCAGCCCTTGTGAGCCTGGGGTCCCCAAGAACCACGCTGTGTGTCTTCCTCAGACTCCTGCGAGGGGCTGATGGTGAAGACCCTGGATGTCGATGCCACCTATGAGATCGCCAAGAGATCGCACAACTGGCTCAAGGTGATTCCTGTCCCTGACCTGGCCCTCCCCACTAGAGCCCCAGGTCTGCAAGTCCGTCCCGACCAGGCAGTCAATTTTGAGTCTCCACTCTGCGCCCTGTTTGAGCTCAGGGACCCTCTTCAGAGTCCCGCAGTCCCACCCCAGGTCCTTGTTAGTGAGTTCACCAGGAGTCGATTGAGAACTGCCCCGGCGCGAGCACTGTGGATCCTTCAGTGTGAAATTGGGATGAGGTCTCTGTTCTCTCCGCGCTGGCCTCAGCATTGGCCAGGCGCTTGGGAAGGAAGCCAGCCGGCAAACGAACAACGTAAAGTTGGGCAATGATGAGCACCGTGGGGATCACGAGTCCATTCGGGGCCAGCAAGTCTGGGAGTGCCCTAGGTGATTGGGAAGAGGCAGTGTTTGGGTTGAGATCTGGACAACAGGAAGGGGTCGACGACACGAAGATCAGGGACAAAGCACCAGGAAGGTTTGGGGTGGGGCCACAAGTGCAAAGGCCCTGAGGAAGAACAAGCTCGGCGTGTGCAGGGAGCAGGCAGGTGAGGTGGGAGGTGAGGGAGGAGTGGAGAGCAGGCCCCAGGTCACGCAGCAGCTCGGGAGCCACCGTCAGATAAAACCGGATCTTCCTCTAAGGGCTTCAGGAAGCCAGTGGAGGTCTCATGCAGGGGAGTCACGGGGTCTGGTTGTCGTTTTGCAAAGGTCCTCTGGTTTCCCTGTGGCTAGTGGACGGGTGGGGGGCGCTGGGCAGAAGTGGGAGTGAGCGAGCAGGAGTCTGTCGTCTGCTAAGAGACGATGGAGGTTTGAGTGGAGAAGGGGCAGTGAGGATTGGGTCAGCGCGGGAGACGTCTGGAGCTGAGCCGGCCTGGCCTGCTGCTGGACCTTCCTGTGTGTTTATCTGCCCGTGACCGCTCTAGACACAGAACAGCTGTGAGAGCACAAACCTTCCCTGTCTTAGGATATATGCATGTCCTACCCCCAAGCCTTCTAACCTAGAAGCCCTTCCCATGTCCATTCTCATGGGGGCCATCCTCAGTGTTTTCTGGAAGTTCTCCCCAGCCCACCGATTGGCTCCAGCAGTGATGCCCCCCACCTTGGGTGCTCCCCCTCATATCTTGCCTCCCCTTCTCCCAGCTAAAGAAGGACTACCTCGACGGCGTGGGTGACACCCTGGACCTTGTGGTGATCGGCGCCTACCTGGGCCGGGGAAAGCGGGCCGGCCGATACGGGGGCTTCCTGCTGGCCTCCTACGACAAGGACAGTGAGGAGCTGCAGGCGATATGCAAGGTCCTGGGGGCTTGGGGCTGAGTGCAGAAGCAGGGGAAAAGTAGATTCAAATTCTGGGGGGACGCCTATTGGCAACCTAGGGAGGGCCCAGCCCAGAAGGCACTCATGTCCTGCCTGCGAAGGATTCTTTTTTTCCTAGTATTTATTTACATTTTCTGATTGTGTAAGTAACTCTTGCTTCTTATAGAAAAAAGGGCTAGTATAGAAAGGTATAAGGAGGCTGTGTCAGTTAGGAATTTAATTTAGCAGCAAATACCGGTAGCTTGCATTAGAGAAGGATTTATTTTTCTCTCATGTAATGAGAAATGTGGGGGGCAGGCAGCTCTCCGATGTCACTGGAGTCCAGGCTCCTCCTCTCTTTCCCCACATTGGTTTTTGTCCTGTGCTTCTGGCCTCATCTTCGCAGTGTGGCTGCAGGTGTTCCAGCCATCGTGGCCATGCATGTTCCAAGCAGCAGAAAGGAGGAAGGCACAAAGACAAAGAGGGGTGGGCCATCCAAGGCAGCCTCAGGCAGCGAACACCTTCCCTTAAGTTTTGTTGGTCAGAACTTTGCTCCACGGACCACCCCTATCTGCAGGGGACTCTGGGAAATGTTTTTTTTTTTTTAAGCTATGCACATTGTAACTAGATTTTCCTGTGTATTTCCTATATTACCCAGAATTCCAGAGGCAACCACTAGTAACATTTGAAGGGATGTTTCATGGAATACTTATATTTTTACAAAATTGTGATCCTTCTCTATAATTAATTTTCTTTTCTGCCTTTTTGCCGTGTAAGTACTTTATTTTAAATGTTACTGTATGCACCCAAGTAATACAATAACATGACTTGGACGCCTGCACAACTTCCAATGGATGTGCCCCAGTTTCGTGAACCGGTTCCCTGTAGTTGTGTGGTTGCTTGTTACCAGCTCTGTTCTCATGAATAACATCAGCACTTGGAATACATTAACCTAAATAATCAGTGATAGCAGTGATTTTATAATTCACAGATCTCTTTGGCCACCAGTCTGTCACCATTTTAAATTATTTAGAATAGATTTTTTTTTTAAGAATAGATGTGTAAAAGAGCTATTGTTGGGACAAAAGGCAAGAGAATGTTTAAGGCTCCCGATACAAAAAGGGCTTTGCAGCTGACATATCAGTCAGAGATGCCCATCTTGCTGCATGTCTGCCAGCATGGAGTATTACTGTTTCTTAGCCTTTCCCATTTTGGTGGGTGAAGGAAGCTCTTGGCAATGTTAAGATTGGCGCTGAGGATTAGTTACCGGGCAGGTGGGATGTGGGTGAGCCCGAAGGAGTGACGTCCTGGGCCGGGGAGACGGAGTGGAAGGCGTAGGGGTGTTGCGTGAAGCAGAACCAGTGAGTGGGGTAGTGGACGTCCTGCTGGGAGGGTCACTCCCCCTCAGGAGCCTTCGGTGGGATGCTCAGCCCCACCTCATCCCTCCCCTGGTTTCCATGGATGCTGCTTGGACCGGAAGGGGATGGGGCTGCCAGCGCACGCAGGTCCAAGTCCTTAGATGGCAGGAGCAAGGAGGAAGTACCGGGCCACTGGCCGAGCCTCTGACCTACCGCGTCTTCCCTGCAGCTCGGAACTGGCTTCAGCGACGAGGAGCTGGAGGAGCATCACCAGCAGCTCCAGGTAAGCCATGGCGGCCGAGCCTCAGCCTCCCCGCCCCTGGCAGCATGCGCCTCACTGAAGGGGTGTCTGTGTCTCTTTGTTCCCTTCCCTCATTTCCTCCCTCTTTCCCCACTCCCCAGCCCCTGACTTTGAGGTTCCAGACCTTCCCTGTTCCTCTGTCCTCTGCTCCTGCAGGCCCTGGTGCTGCCCGCGCCCCGCTCCTACGTGCGCATAGATGGCGCCGTGGCTCCCGACCACTGGCTGGACCCCAGCACCGTGTGGGAGGTGAAGTGCGCAGATCTCTCCCTCTCCCCCATCTACCCTGCTGCCCGGGGCCTGGTGAGTAACGGGGGGCCTGGGCGTGGCCCTGCAAAGGGGCTCTGGGTGGGAACGCTGGTAGCAGAGCGGGGAGGGGCCCTTGGGGGCCACGTCGGCTCATCCTGAGCAGTGACCAAGAACACAGCTTGCATTTAACTTGGATGTCAGATAATGAGGTCAGAAACCTTTTTCTTCAAAAGAAAAAGAGAATTCCCCAGGAGTAAAAAGAAAAGTGACATTGCTCCCATTAATATCATAATCTCACCTTCGGCTCTGAAGTAATTCTCGAAACCTCGGTTCTTTTAAGTAAAAGCGTAGTGCTCTTCCTGGCGAGCATTTGCCTTGACTACTGCAGTTTCTTCCTCAATCATAATTAATTTTCATGCTTCCAAGTCTTTTAATTCCTTGGCCAATTTCTCTCTCTGGTGATTCAGTCCTCAGCGCCAGCTGCGGCATTGTTGTACGCCAGGGGAAAACGCCAGCTGTGGCCAGCGCTGGGAAAGCTCTTAGCTTTCTCCTTCAAGGGAACAGTGAATCTCAAATATAAAATGTACTCTCTTTGTGATTTCTTTCCATCCTTCAAATCAGAACTAGCATGTGCTTTTCTGATGAGAAGCAGACTTCCATTTTAAAAGAAGGAACTCATATTTTTTATCTCATTTTTTTTTTTAATTTGTCACTCATCCTGCATATTAGACAGCCAGGGTGCCCTGGTAACAGGTGACAGGAGCTGGTGTTTACCCAGCACTTACTGTGGAGCAGGTGCTGTGTGACAATTAGCATTTCACTTGCACATACTCATCTAATGCTCTCAAAAGCCCTGGGACATAGTGACATGAACATCTCCATTTTTGCAGGTGAGGAAATAGAGCCCCAGGGAGTTTATGGAACTGGCCCAGGGGCATGTGGCTCCTGAGCGTTGGGAGCGGGGATTTGAACCCCAAATTCTAGTTCTAGAACCCCCACCCTGACTCTTTGCTCTTCTGCCTCTCAGCCCTAATCAATAATAATAACAGCATAAATAACAGCTAGAGCAGCTGGCATTTCTTAAGCACTTACTGTGCACCAGGTACAGTTCCAAGCACTTTGTGAACTTGTTTAAGCCTTAAAACAACCGTTGTTTAGCCCCGTGGTGTGGATCCGGAAACTGGGGCCCCATCAAGGAGGGAGGAGGACGGGGACTTGCCACAGCCAGCAGAGTGCAGCTCGGCCACAGGAGCCTCCATCCCCTCTCCTTCCCCCCAGGTGGACAGTGAGAAAGGGATCTCCCTTCGCTTCCCTCGGTTTATTCGAGTCCGGGAAGACAAGCAGCCCGAGGAGGCCACCAGCAGTGCCCAGGTGAGGCCCTTGGAAGAGGGGGTCGGGGGGGGCCCCCCGCCGCCCCGGCAAAACAACCTCCTAAAAAAGACGAACCCGGCCCGGAAAAACGGAACCGGGGGCAACCCAGGAACCCCCCAACAACCCCCGTCCTCTCCCCCCAGGTGGCCTATCTGTACCGGAAGCAGAGTCAGATTCAGAACCAGCAGGGCGAGGACTCAGACTCTAACCTTGAAGATATGTACTAAGCCCCTGCCCGCCAGGGCCCGGGGCACGGGGCAAGAGGTGGAGGGAACCCAGGGCTATTGCCTCTGCTTTTCAGCAAATCTGGTGTTGCAGTCTGTGGTTTTTGAGCGTCAGTGGGGTGTGCGTGTTATGTGTGAGGGGGTGGTTTACGCCGGGGTCTGGGATTCATCTGGTCATTTCTTTCAATAAATAATTATCAAACACTCTGTGACAAGCTGGGCTCTGGGGGCAAAGCTCAAAGAAGTCGCACAGCATGTGACAGTGTGCTAGGAACTGAGCCAGCACCATCCAGTAGAGCTTCCTGCTGTGATGGGAGTATCCACATCTGCTCTATGCAGTGTGACAGCCACCGGCCACCTGCAGCGATCAAGCATTTGCCATGTGGCCCCACAACTGAGGACATGAATATTTCATGTAATCGTATTGGACTACAACAGTCTAAGGTCTTTACATATATATTTTTTAACTTGTTTAACCGCCCAGCAATTCTACACATAGGTGCTGTCATGATCCCTGTTTCACCGATGGGGACAGGGAAGCACAGAAGAGGTAAGTAAGTGACTTATCCAGGGCCACACCTAGGAGTGTCGTCGCCAGCTCTGACCTGGCCTTCTGACCACGCCTTTCAAGTAAGGTCCTCAGCCTCTCAGGAGACAGGAAAGACAGTGACTTGGGTGTGATTCCTGGCTCTGTGACCCACCAACCGGTGACCAGGCGTGGCCTCAGAATCTGCAGCACAGTGCTCTAGCCGTCACCCATGAGGCGTAATGGTGGCCATAGCTGTTTTGCTCACCGTTATCCCTCCTGGCACAATGCCTGGCATGTGGTAGTTGGAGCGTCAATCTCCACTGGCACATGAGGTGGGACCAAGGGCATCGCTGTTAGTCACCCCAACATCCCTTCACACCCTTCCTTCTGAAGTCCTCCCTGAGTGCTGACTTCCTCCCGCCGTGTGCTTTGGGGAAGAGTCCCTGTCCACAATGCAGGTACAGACAGGCCACACTGGTCATGGTGGCCCCATTCAGCTCGCCACAAGTCAGATTAGACACTGACATGCGTAGGAACTTCGGCCAATGCAACATGAAGTCTTTCGGGACGAAGGGGAAGAAGCTTCTGGAAAACTGTTTTTCTAAGATTATCACAGAACTAGGCCCTGACAGCCTCCTCTGGCCCTGTAGCAGCCCGCAGGCCACCAGCTGGAGGAGGGCAAGACCAGGAGTCCAGCAGACAAGAGGTGCACGGGGCTGCACGCCCCGAGCCACCTGCTGCCAAGCTCTCGTTGAGCAACACGGCAAAATCCCTCCACTGTTAAGCAGCTCTCGTTTGGGTCTGCTGCTGCCTGCAGGTGGAGACACCCTCGGTAGGGCTGATGTGAGGGCCAAATACGGGATGCACGTAAAGGGTTGGCAGCAGAGGTTGTCAAATGTGGTCCCCAACCAGGAGGTGAAACAGCATCACCTGGGACCTTGCTAGAAGTGCAAACTGTCAGGCCCCACCCAAAACCTACTGCCAAGAACCCCTAGCGTGGGGCCAGGATCTGCTGTAACAGGCCCTCCAGGTGGCGCTGCTAAGTGCTCACCTTTGAGAACCACAGGTTTAGAGCATTGCCCAGCACGTAGTAGACTCACTAGATTTTGCCGCCATGCTATGATGGTGACGACGGTGGAGATGGTGGGGAGGAGGACATGGGGAATCCTGTTGCAAACGCTGCTGGGGCCCAGAGCACGGAAGCTCCTTACCTGGTTCATAGAGACAGCCGTTGGTTTCTCGCACCAGGGGGAGCAGACCGCAGATTTGCCAGTGGAACGTGACGAAAAGAGGTGAAATACGGAGAGTCTGGGTAGTTAGGCAGGCGGTCAGGGAGCTGCCAGGTCTGTGGGGCTGTGGAGAAGGAGCCCTGGGATAGCTGAAAGGGGGTAGAGGGTGTTCAGCTCAAGGTTTTGGGGAAGTCAGAGAATGGGGAGGCCGGACCAGGCAGGAGGGAGATGTGGCAGAACCACACGTGTACTACACGCAGTTTCCTTTCCCACCTGGACAGGGCTGTGCTGAGTTCCCAGCCTCCCTTGCAGCTACGTAGGGCTGCAAAAGGGGATTGTAGCCAATTAGCAGGGACACGATGGCCCGCCCCCTCAACAAAGCTCTCATGTTCCTCCATGCTCGCTCGCTTGCTCATCCCATGCAGACAGAAAATGGGGAAGGACAAGGGCCTGTGCCTTCCTCCCCACGCTTCCCTGGCTGCCAACCTTCATTGGATGGTGTGATTGTCAAGCAAGAAATAAACTTGAGTTGCGTTAAGTCACTGCAGTCTTCGGGCCGTGACATGGTGAGCCCCACCTGACTAATGGAAGGGGCCTGGGGGATAGTAGGATCGGGGCAAGGGACAGGACAGGCTTGAGTCACCCAGCCAGGGATGGAAAGGGGGAGGAGGGAATGGGGAAAGATGGGCCATTACGGAGGAGGCGAGGTTAAACCACGTGCTTAAGGTCACGGAGGCAGCAGCAGAGAATCCAGGATCTGAATGCAGCTTGTCTTTGGAAGCAGCACTCTGGACTACCAAGGAGACCCCCACCCACCAAAAATGAATACCGAACAGCTGCCAGGTGTGAGCCAGGTGCAGGGACACTGGTGAGCGAGGCCAACCCGCATCCTGCCCTCATGGGGACCACCTTCTACTTGGGAAGACAAGCACAGTGGCTTAAACAGCCCGAACGTATTCTGCACAGTTCTGGAGCTCAGACGTCCAAAACCAGTTTCACAGGGCTAACGTCCAGGTTGCGGCAGGGCTGGTCCCTTTCGGAGGCTCAGGGGAGAATCGCTTCCTTGCCTTTGTCAGCTCCCAGAGGCCACTGCGTCCCTTGGGTCGTGGCCTCTTCCTCCTTCTGGAAAGCTGGGGGCATTGGGTCTGCAGACCTCTCTCTGCCGAGGTCATCCTGTCACCCTCTCTCCATCAAATCTCCACTTCCCTCTTGTAATAACGTTGGGGATTACAGTTAGGGCCTGCTCGGATGACTCAGGATGATCTCATTTCAACGTCCTTAATTCCAAAGTCCCTTTAGCCACATGCGATCACTTTCACAGGTTCCAGGGATCAGGACCTGGATATCTTTGAAGGTTATTATCCAGCCCACCTCACTCGGGATAATGTGTCAGAGGAAAGCCATGGGGAAATGGTGGGGTGAGCAGAATGACTGGGATGCCACCCTGCCCAGAGCACCCCCAGAAGAAACACGCCCACTCAGGGTGGAGCCCAGGCTTGAGACTTCTAGAACAGGCGGCGTCTTACCTTAGAGCGGAGTGGAACGTGAGCTTCCGGACGTGAGTGCGTCAGCACGTCCTGATGCCCCTGCACAGAAGGAGAAAGGGCTGCTGGCCCAGGATCCCCCAACCCTCCCTCTTCACTCTGTTTCTGTCTTACCATCTGCCCTTCTTTCTCCCCTGCTCCCTCTGGTTCCCCTGCCCTTGTCTCCCGCCTGCTCTCTCTCCCCTTCCTTTGTCTCTGTATCTGCCGAAGCCTCTCTCCCTGTCGTGCAAGTCTGTGCCAGGCTTGCTCTGCTGTCTGTGATTCAGATCACGTGTGTCTTCCTCTCTGCGCTTTCTCTTCCCCTATGTCTCCATCATGTTCTCTTGTGCATTCTGTTTCTGTCTTTCCCTCTCCCTGCATTTCTGTGTCTCTGTCTCTGTCACAGCCCAAAAATACAATATTCATTTTCCCATTCTTGCATCTAGCAGCGGCCTTGTGGCCTTGTGCGGGCAGACCCACAGGACAGAAGCACAGGGTCTACTGGGGGCTTCTGGGGAAACATGACTCGTGATCAAAAAGGACAGACCTGGTTGTGGCAGACCTTCCCTTCTTCCTGCCCTGACTGTGGATATGATGGTTGGAGCTGGGGCTGCCACCTGTGGTCATGAGGAAGAAGTCGGGAAATTCACAGTGCAGCCCTGACAGCATTTAGGGGGTGAACCACAGGCAGCAGCCGCCTAACTGGGCTTTTTGTCACGTGTCAGAAGGAGAGGGGAAAGGATATCTAAATCCAGTGTGAACATGCCACTGTAAAAATGGTTATTTCCCGTAGCTAAAAGAGTTCCTGATATGGCTCTGCCTTAAAGGATTGGCAAATTAATGTGCATTCATGTTTCAAGTTCAAATAAAATACAAAAACTATTTGACTAGGTAAGTATTTTATGTTTAGGGATCCACACTCTCTGTCTGTGGAGCCCCATGGTTCCCCTGGGCACAGACCAGGTCTCCCTGAGGGAAGCTGAGCTCTTCCTCCCCATGTCCCTGCAGGGCCCCCGTGAGCACACCTCCTGCCCCACATGGCCACCGTGTCCCTCTGCCAGAGCTGGGCAGGGACATCTTCGCTCTCCAATGACCCCCATAACAAGCCTCCCACCAGGTAGGTACTTTTATTATCCCCATTTAACTGGTGAGGACATTGAGACACGGGGGTGTGATTGACTTTCCTTAGGGGCCACAGCACACAGGCGAGACCCTTGCTCTCCGAGTCGTGTATGATCTTGGCGGCTTCTAAGTCTTCCAGTCTCGTCCAGTGTGCAACACAGCCTTCGAAGCACAGTGGTAACTTCTAACTCCCCTTTCTCTGCAGGCTCCACTGCTGGAGGGGTTGTGTCCAAGTGTCCCCACCACCTCTGCTCCCTCCAGTGTCCAAGTGCTCCCACCACCTCTGCCCCCCAATCCCCCGGTCCACCATCCGACGAGCTCCGGCTTCCAGGACAGCGTGGGTCTGCTGGTCCACCAGGGCCAGGACGTCCACCTGACTCTCCTGTTCTCTGCTCCCTTCAGCTATGCCCTCCACAGCACCGAGTTCACCATGGCCATCCTAACCGGACCAATTATCGGGGACCACCCAGAGTGTGTCTTTGACAGCATCGTTCAGAAGAAGGGGTCCTGGGAGCTGAAGGAGGTGAAATGTGTCTTGCAGATCCCTCAGGGGACCTGGAGCTGGAGCATGACTGTCTGACCATTGGGGCCATCGTGTCCAACGTCCAGATAACCAAAGTGAATGTGGTGGTTGAGACCAAAGCCACTTACCTGCTCCTTCATTAGTGCGCCCCCAGCCAGACGATCAGCTCTGTAGAAGTGGGAACTTTGGCCTAAGTCATGTTCTCTCTCTCCAGAGCCAAGTGGAGCTCAGAGAATATAAGTGCCCAACAGATGTTTGCTGATTGACTGATGGATTGACTGTGTGTGCATGTCTTGGTCTGCCGCCACCCCTGCCCCGACCCCTTTCACCCTTGGTGCACCCTTTATGCCCTCATTCCTCCCATCCCTCCTTTCCATCCTCTTCTCTCTGCAGCTCAGCAGTGAAACAAGAGGGCTCCACGGGTGGGTTTGAACCCTGCTTCCACTACCAGCTCACCACGAGAACATGGGCAGGCTCCTTCGCCTCTGCCCCAGCGTCACCATCTGTGGAACAGATAATCGTGGGTCCTGTGTCCTTGAGAGTCTTAAGTGAGTCAACCAGTCTCACGACCTTAGGAAGAGTGGCACTGACCAAGTGTTCAATAGACGTTAGCCATTGTTATTACACAGTGGCTTTTCAAAAGTAAAGCAAGACTGCTAGGTCTATCTCAATGTTCCCTGACCCTCGGTTCCCAGTGACAAGAGTGAGTCCTGGTACCAAGTTGAGCTGATAACAGAGCGATCACACATGCAAAACAATCCCACACAAACAGTTTATTACAGAAAAGAAAGAAACTATACCAAGTGAAAGTGAAGAAGGAAGCTACCCAAAGCGAAAACACGTTCCAGAGAGAAGGACGGGTCAGTCTCCGTGAGTGGAGGAAGACATTGGGGGCTCCCAGGTGGTTTCCTTTCATTGACCTGGTCCGGGGAGAGCTCACAGGAGGTCTGGGATGGTGCCGAATGATTTTCAGGTGTTCTGCGTTTTCCTGCAGTGGCTTCCCCTGATGGGTCCCCAGCTTCTCTGCCCCTAGAACTACCCTCCTGGCCTACACCCACCACCTGCAGATTTGATCCCTACCAAACAGGACTGCGATGGGTTGAATTGTGTCCCCCTAAAATATGTTGATATCATACCCCCCAATACCTGTAAGCATGACCTTATATGGAAATAAATAAGGTCTTTCCCAGGTGATCAAGTTAAGATGAGATCATTAGTACGGGCCCTAATCCACAGTGACTGGTGTCCTTATGAAAAGCGGGAATTTGGACACGGAGACAGACGTGTTCATAGGGAGAAGGCCGTGCGGACGTGAAGGCAAAGATTGAGGTGATGCATCTACTGCCCAATGAGCACCAAAGAGCACTAGGAAACCACCAGTCATCCCAGCAATGACCTTCATAGCAAAAGAATTCTGAGCTGCTTTCGGTCATGTCTCCTTCATCTCCAGTCTCAAACGGTTCCTCAATCTTTCCTTAACTTTCATGACCATGACATTTTTTAAGTGTACAGGCCAGTTAGTTTGTAAACCATCCATCCATTTGGGCTTGTCTGACGTCTTCTCATGATCGGATTTAGGAATATCACAAAAGCAGTGCTGTGTTCTCGTTGCATCCTGTCAGGTGGCGCGTAATTTCAATTTGTCACATTATTGATGATGTTCCTTTTGATCATTGGATTAAGATGGCATCTGCCGGGTTTCTCCACTGTAAAGCAACTCTTTCCTTTGAAATTAGTATTTTGTAGGGAGGTACTTGAGCTATGGAAGTAGCAAACTTTCAACTTATCGTTTTATTCATGTCCCTGTGGACTCCTGGTTTCCCATGTTGTCCTGTATAACTTGTTCCTATCATTTACTTTGATTCTCAAATTCCCCAGTATGGCCATTGGCACTTCTTCAAGTGGACTCCTGTGTTCTTTTAACAGGTCCCCATAACTCTTTGAGCAATTCCTTGCTTTAAGCACAAGAAGTTTTAGGCTCATCTTGTTCATTTCCTGCTCTGGACATGGAATCAGCCATTTCTCCTAGGAGCCTTGGTTCCTTTTAGTAGAGAATGGTATTTAGAAGTCAAGATCTGGAGGCTAGAGGTGCTCATTAATGTTGGGGTGTCACTGTTTCCCTGCCCCCTTGGTGGAGAGGGCTAGAGAGTATATGTACCAATGTTCCTATGCACACTGAGACTATGTCTATTTTTATGTCTCTGTAATTGAGATCTGTGAGCACATACCAATGCCTCCAGTTCCAGTCCAACAACATAGGGCTCATTCTACTTTTTCCTCTATTTTAGTAGCTCTCTTCCCAACAGTAGGAGACTTGCCTCCCATCACCCTTACTGGAACCCCCATGTGTAACCAATCCCTTCTCCGTTGCCATCCCACCCCAGGGGGTCACTTTTCCCACCCTAACCCGGCTTCAACACCCTCTGCCATGCTGCCTCCCTGAGTGGGCATCCTTCTCGCTCCACTCGGGCCCATGCCAGATCCCCCCGTGCGGCTTCCTGCATGACCCATTTGCAGTGCAGACCCCCACCCTAGACACTGCCTGCATATAGATTCCCCCCAACTCAGCTCGTGCTCCCGCATTCCACACCAAGCCGCCCTCCCACGGGTGCATTCCCGGCTTTCAGGCCCCTGCACTCTGGGCCATGCTGCCCCTCTAGGAGGACTCCCCCATCCCCCGCTACCCACACCAGATGGCCCCCAGCTTCCTCTCCCACCACCCCCCAGTGTGGACACCCTCATCACCCCTTTGGGCTCTGACACCACCATGATTCTCACCCCGCACGACTCCTCCCCACCTTGCTCTCCCCCCTGAATTATTCAGGAAGAATGGAAGGGAGGGGTGAGCAGAGGGAGAGCAAATGCCACGCTCCTGATCACCGTGCTGGCCTACTTCCCCCCTCCCATCATCAGGCGATTCCCCATTCTCGCCTCCTGCTCATTTGCTCACGTTCCTGACTCTCTCAGGAAAGCGCCTTGCGGCCAAGGGCCCTGTCCTCTCCGTCCCACTGCCCAGAGTCCAGGCTAGAGTGAGCCCTCAAAATGCTTGTTGGAACATTGCATGAATGCACGCCCTCTGCCCTAATCCCCATTTTCAAAACGAACTTTCTGATTCTCCTCTGGGGATAACAGAGTGTCAGAGCCTGAGACTGGCCCTCCCCCTCACCTCGCTCAAGCCAGATGGGGAGGCAGGACAGCTCTGATCCCTCCCCAGCCTCATAGAGATTTCTGCCCCAGCTGTCACACAGCTGGGAGACGCAGGGACAGAGGGACAGGCAGGAAGAGGTGGCGAAGGTGCACTGTCTTGACACCGGTGCTGCAGAGCTGTGCCCCGCCCTCCATGCAGTTCCCTGTGGGCCCCGCCTGCATCTTCCTGAGGAAAGGCATCGCTGAGAAGCAGCGGGTGAGGCGGGGGCGGCAGGGCGGCAGGGCGGCAGTGGGCAGGGCAGGGGATGTGGGAACCTGGCAGACGGGGAGAGAGAGCAGGAACTGAGAAGCTAGAATTCCAGGGGCCTTTGAAGGAGTAAAATCAGAAGTCAGGAGCGAAGAGGAGGAGACGAAAGGGAAGAAAAATAAAATAAAAGAGGAGCTGGGATGACATTGTTGGAATCATCTTTTCTACAGAAGCTCATAGTGATAATGATGATGTCGACAACCGTAGCTGCCACTTACTAAGTACAGAGGGCTTTGCATTCTTGATGTCATTTAAACCTCAGAACAACTCATGAGGTCGATGACACTTTCATTCCCATTTTACAGGTGAGGAAACTGAGGCTCACAGTCATGAAGTCCTTTGTCTTAAGCTTACACAATGATTAAGTGGTAGGGTCAGAGCAGTTTGCTTGCTACGGGGCATGATTTTAATTGTTAGGCATTAAAATGAAAGACGGAAGGAAGGGAGGAAGGGAGGGAGGGAGGAAGGAAGGGAGGGAGGGAGGAAGAGGAGAGAGAGAAAGAGAGAGAAGGTGGGGCTTCCATGATTGGAAATTCTCAGAGGTGTTAGGAATTGTTCGTGCTGGCACTGATCATCCTGCCTGAATGTCGTTAAATACTGGTCCCATGCAAAGGGATTCTAACCCTTGGGGAGAAGGAGGCAGACAGGTGGAAAAAGAGTCAATGGTGTGTCGAGGGAAGAATTCTGACTTGGGAGTCAGGAGCCCTGAATTCAAATCCCAACCTTGCAACCAACTTTGCCACATGACCTCAAAGGAGCAGTTTAATTTCTCCCTCCCTTGGGAGGCGATCTACCACTTACGAGCTGTGTGACCATGGGCAGTTTCCTTCACCTCTCTGTTGGCATCCTCATGGGTAAGATGGGAATGATATTTGGACGGGCCTCACAGAGCAGTGCCTGAGGTTGAAACAAAAGGGTTATGGAGACTGCCTGGCACAGAGTCAGCACTCTGAACACTTTAGCTGTGATTGTGAGTCTCGCTTTCTTCATCTGAAAAACAAGGAGATTGGATTCACAGTGTTTCAGACCCTTTGGGCACAGTGTGATGGGTGCTTGTCTGGGAAAGGGGGAAGGAGGGTGGTCAAGAGTGAAGGATGGGAGAGGGGAAGTGAGAGGGGTGGGGAAGAGATGGGGAGGTGAGAGCCACAGCCTGGGAGTCAGGAGACAGGAGCGGGAAGAGGAGAGGCAGGGAAGGAAGAGAAACAGGAGCGGGGAGGGGTAGCTTGGGAGAACAAGGGGACATGTTTGGAGAATTGGGTGTTGGATTCCTGAACCTCTCTCCACATTCCCCTCCCCTGCGTTCCTTTCCAGGAAAGACCACTGGGACAAGATGAGATTGAAGGTAACGCCTTGTCCTGCAAATGCCCCACGTTGCCATCCACCCACTTAATCTCCCCTCAGTCCCCTTTGTGTATTTCTGTATGAAGCGATTTACATGAAAGCTTTACATCCCTCTCTCTTCCCACTCAACTGTAATTTTGAACTCTTTCTCATGGCAGTTTAAGTACCTCCCAAAGTGTTTAGAAGGCATCCCCAAGTGTCTCAGACTCAGGAGTGAAACAGGAGTTTTAGAATGAATTGAAAATAGTTCTGTAGTCCCAGCTATTGTGGAGGCTGAGGCAGGAGGATTGTATGAGCCCAGGAGTTTGAGGTTTCAATGAGCTATGATGATGCCACTGCACTCTAGCCCAGGCAAGAGACCCCATCTCAAAAAAAAAGAAAAAAAAGAAATTTTTGGTTCTTCTCTTGGTGGTTTTGAGGTTCCCCATAACTTCACTCAAGAGTTTGAGGGACTTTAGGGTTCTCATTTAGTGGTCTCAGGAGTCATGCCTCTTCCTAACACAGTTCACGTATCACTCCTTTTTGAAATATTTGTTTTTTAAGATGTATTTTCCTTTGAGAAGTCTCCAGTTGGAGCCTCATTGATAGTTTCAAGGGATGCCATTCTTCCCCATGGACTGTTTCAAGTTCTCCCAAAATTCTTCTCTCTATAACTTTCAGAGCTCCGGGAAGCATTTCTTGAGTTTGACAAGGACCGAGATGGGTTCATCTCTTGTAAGGACTTGGGGAATCTCATGAGGACCATGGGTTACATGCCCACGGAGATGGAACTGACTGAACTGGGCCAGCAAATCCGCATGAACTGTGAGGCCAGAGGATGGGAGGAATGGCTGGGGGTGGGGAGGGGTCCGGGTGGAATTGGGGAACATACAGAAGTTGAGAGTCGAGTTGGGGATAGAGAGGAGGGTAAGACGGACTAGTAGTCTGGAAGAAAACAGTTCAGACTATACTCAGGGTGGCAGCATTTGAAGCAGTTAGAAGCTTTTAGAGATAGGTCTGTGTTCAAGTCCCATACTATTATCTAGTAATTGTGGTCATTTTGAAAAGCAGAGTTATCCCCTACTCTTGAGTCTCAGTTTCCTCACCTGTCATGTAAAGATGCTATCACTCCTTAATTCACGCCATTGTGGAAAAGAAGGGGCAAAGATGCTAATGCAGGCAAAGTCTTAGCCCCCAGTAAATTCTTGTCGAATGTAAACTATTACTGTCACCACAAAGGTTCCTCAGTGGAGCCCAAGATTGGGGCTGCGTTGGATGGTGGAAACAAACTTGGAGTTGGAGCTAATTAATGTTGGTGAATAGTGTTGCAAAAGGGGTGGGTTTTTAGGTGGAGACTAGAGCTGATTTTGAGATCGAAGCTGGAATAAAATTGCTATTGGGTTTGCTGCTGGGCATATAATTGAGTAAACAAGGCTGAATTCAAGGCAATGATAATATTTATATCTGGAAGACACTTGGGTGCTCTTTAATTCATACACCTCCTTCTTCAGGTCCTCTGATGAGGGAGCATAGGTCTTAACCTATGAAGAGATTTTCTGAAGGTCACACAGACAGTTAGTTATTTCCACCTTACCACACCCCGTCCACTAGTGTTCAGATTAGAGGGACATGAGGGCTTTAGCTGGCAGAGTGGAGGGAGGAGGTCAAAGAAGGCTCTCAATGGACAGGGAGGTGGGAGCTGATCTATTTGCTGAACAGACTTGAAGCCCGAAGTGAAGGAATGGACGGTCAGGGCAGGTGGAGTTTCACTAATCCTCCCTCTCCATCCTCAGTGGGTGGCCGTGTGGACTTTGACGACTTTGTGGAACTCATGACCCCGAAATTGCTTGCAGAAACGGCAGGGATGATCGGTGTCCAGGAGATGCGAGACGCCTTCAAGGAGGTGAGTTGGGAGTGCCATGGTGCTGGTGGTGGTTGAAGGAAAGGTCTGTGATTCATCGTTACCAGGAACAACACCCACCAAAACCAATTTTTTTCTACCCATAGTGGGAACAATAAGGAAGGAAATTAACATATTCCAAACACTGGCAATGGATCAAGGCCTCTACATATCTTATCTGATTTAATCCCCACCAAACAACTTTAGGAGTAAGCAGTCAATTACCCCAATCATACAGATGAGGAAACTGAGGTTCATGAAGGTGACCAGTTTTATCCAAGATCCTACAATCTCCAAAACAAATGTTCCAGCTTCTCCTCCTACTGCCTGTCATAGGAACGACAGATCTAAGAATTTGAGATCCCAGAAGGGAACTCAAAGGGATCATCTGGTTTAAGCTACTTGCTGTAGAGATGCTAAAAAGTGAAACCTGGGGAGAGTAAGTTGTTTCTCATTCAGAGCTTTCAACAACACATGGCAAAAATAAAGAATGGTGTGGTGTTTGGAAGCAACGACTTTGGAACCAGGCTGACACAGGTTCAAATTCCAGGAGATCACCTACTAGCTGTGTGATTTTTCTCTCCCAGCTTCAGCTAAAGATCTACAGCTGCACCATGCAATAGAACTTTCTGTGGCCACAGAAATGCTCTGTCCCAAAACAGTAGCCACTGACCCCATGTGGCCACTGGGCCCTTGAACTAGGAACCGATTTTTTAATTTTATTTCATTCAATAGCTTTCAATTACATTATTTATTTAATTTCCATTCATACTCAGTTGACTAGAAGCGTCCAAGCATTTAAACGCAATTCATTTAAATTTAGAACAAATACTTGATTCAGTTATTGGAAAATTTTCATCTGGAGCAACTTGGGTATGTGAATCTACTTTTTCAACTGTAACCTTTATGCAGATCAAGTATTTCTGATAAAAAAAAGAAAATTGAGTGTCTGAACTGAGAGGTGCCAGTAAGTGTAAAATACACGCTGGATTAAGATTTAGTATGTTTACGATAATTAGCGTAAGTATGCTTGTGTACTTAAGTAAACTTCTATGCTAAGCGTGTTAACTATGCTAAGCACATACTAAGAATTTAGTATGCTATCATGCTGTCTTACACAATTCGGTGTGCATAAAAGGAATATAACGTAGTTCACTAACAATTTTTAACCTGAATACATGATGAAATAATAGTTTGGACATACTGGGTTAAATAAAATCTATTATTAAAAATTAATTTCACTTGTTCCTTTTAACTGTTTTTTTTTTTTTCCTCTTAATGTGGCTACTGGAAAATTTTAAAGGACTCATGAGGCTTGCATTGTATTTCTCTGGGACAGCCCTGCTCTAGGGGAATCATATTCCAGGCTCAGGAAGCTGCAAGCATAACACATGCTGTAAGGCAGGAAGGCGTGTTTGAGGACCAGGCTGGGAGTCCTGGGGAGGCGTGGGCTGCAGAGACACTGGCATGAAATAGACAAGGTCTCAGAGTTGCCAAAGGCAGGGCCCGACAGGAGCTTGTGCACTGTGCAACCATGTCAGGATTTTGTTCCGAGTAGGATAGGAAGCCACCGGGGATTTTAAGCAGGGGAGTGACAAGCTCTGAATTACGTTTTAAATGAAGCCCTGGCCAGGCGCGGTGGCTCACGCCTGTAATCCTAGCTCTCTGGGAGGCATAGGCAGGCGGATTGTTTGAGCTCAGGAGTTTGAAACCTGCCTGAGCAAGAGCGAGACCCCGTCTCTACTAAAATTAGAAAGAAATTAATCGGACAACTAAAAAACTATATAGAAAAAATTAGCCAGGCATGGTGGTGCATGCCTGTAGTCCTAGCTACTAGGGAGGCTGAGGCAGTAGGATTGCTTGAGCCCAGGAATTAGAGGTTGCTGTGAGCTAGGATGACACCACAGCACTCTAACCCAGACAACAGAGTGAGACTGTGTCTCAAAAATAAATAAATAAATAAATAAAAATAAGTGAAGCCCTGATGTGTGTAGAACAGACCACAGCAGGGTCACAGTGGAAGCCAGAAGACCGATTAGGAGGTTGTCCTGTTAATCCAGGCAAGAGATGACTGTGGCTTGAGCCAGTTAGCACAGGCAGATCTCGAGACGAACAGTTGGCTCCCACTATGTTTTGGAGGTTGAACGTACTAGACTTTCCAGTAGATTGGTTAAGGGTGTGCAGGGTAGAGGTTTGGAGGCAGTTCATTAATTCGACAAATATATATCAATATTGCCCCAAAAATATTTGTCCATAGTGCCCATGTGGAGAGCACTGTTCTTGGGACTGAGCATGGAGCAGTGAACAAGACCAGGTTCATGAATAAATGCCTGGCATTGCTAATCATTTGGGAAACACAAATTAAAACCACAATGAGATCTCACCTCCCACCTGTGAGGATGGCTGTTAGCAAAAAGATGACAGTGTTGGCGAAGATGTGGAGCAAAGGGAACCTGGTACGCTGTTGGTGGGAATGTCAGTTATGTATATTTCAAAACAGAGAGTAAATTTCAAACGTATCACCACAAAAAATATTAACAACAAGCAAGTGAGGTGATGGATATGTTAATTAGCTTCATTTAATCATTTCACATTGCATACATGTCAAAACATCCCATTGTAACCCATAAATGTATACAATTACGCTTTGTTGATCACAAATAATATTATTAAATTTTTTAAAAACAAAATAAATGCTGTAGCATGTTGATATCTAATTTTCAAGTAAAAAAATAGATTGTTTATGCTAAACAAAAAGATTTTGTTGATAGGGTACATGTTAAGTGTTCTCACTCCCCACCCAACACACATACACACAATGCAAAATAACAAGGGAGCTCTAGGAAACTTTTGGGGGGAATGGATATGTTTATTTCCTTGATTGTGGCGATGGTTTCACAGGTCTAT